GGGGGCCCCCGCACCCGCCCAGAACGCGGGGCCGGAGCCCGGTCGCAGGGGGCGGGGGGCTCCTGGGCCGCCAATCTGGGAGCACCTCCGGGAGTTCAGATCCCAGCCCGTGGGGACAAAACCACCAAACTTGCACTATCCGCCCTCACCTCATACGGGGCACCACCGGGACCCGCGCCAGGGCCACCGCCATCCCCAGCCCAGCCCGGCCCAGCCCGGCCCAGCCCGCTCCGGCCGATCGCCCAAGCACTGCCCCGGCTCGGCGCCTCTACAGGCTCCCGTCGGTGCCATGTTTCCGGCTCGAGGACCTCCAGATCCTCTACAGGAGAACACAAATGTCTACCTAAGACTCTGAGGCCCCTCGGGACGGGACTTTGAACTGGAGTCACAGGCGCAAGTACCAGCCAGTCTGAGGGCTTCCCCCCACAGTCTGCGGCTGGTGGTACAGTCCGCTCCTCTCCACGACGCCGTCAGCCCCTTAAAGGGACAGCATAGTGGACAGGAGCGGTGGTGGGAGGGAATAAAGGAGGTGGCGTTCTCGCGATCGGCCATAAGGAGGTGCTGTACGACTCCGACGCCTTGACTAGGGGCAGCAGCGGATCTGGCTCTTGCACCCTCGAATGCAGACTCCAGCCCTTGGCCCTCTTTGTATGGAAAAAGGACTTCTGACCTGAGTCGATCCCTAGCCTCCCAGGACAGAGATGCTCCGCCTCCTACGAATCAGGGCCTCTCCGTCTCTTCAGGTCTAAAGTGAAGCTCCGCCCTTTGCCAGTCTTGGGGAAGGGGCCAAACACCTCCTCTTAACCCTCCCAAGGCCCGGCCGAGGCAGTGGTTGTCGTGGCAACCCGGGCTGTGAGTCCCGCCGGGCTGGCGGGGCTGGGGCAGGGAGACTCGACTGGGGCTTAGGCGCTCCCCTTCCTCGACCCGCATCAGGGGCAGGCAAATCCCTGGGATCCCGTCCTCTCCTGTTTAGTCTTAGCGCAGCCTGTGGGAACTTCCAAGACTTCCTTTCAACTTCAAGGAAGCTGCCACCTTTGCAGAAATTTTGGCCGGACCTCAGAGGGATCCCCGGAACCTCTATTCATATCTTGGGCCGTTTCGCTTTGCAGTTCTCTCCCAGTAGAGAGCAGACTTGGAGCTGGATCGAGGCGAGCCCTATGCTAGACCTCGCCTCTTTGTAGATCTGCTCCCCCGCGGGGACTCGACTTTTCTAAAGGGCCAGCGTTTAGCCGTCAGCTTCTACTCCAACCGGACGCCCCAGGGAGAGGCGGAGAACGCTGCTGCAAGCTGCAGACTCGCCCTCTGCACTAGGCTTACCTGTGTTGGGGGTCCGTCAGCCCAGTAGGTGGGCGACCTCCCGCCTTCCTGGGGTGAGTCTCTCCAGCTAGGCTTCTGACGCCAGCTGCTGCCCGCTGGGTAGTCCGCTGGGACTTGATAATTCCCTCCCACCCGCTCCCGCCTCCCACCCAGCCCTTTCTCATTTCCTGCTGCCCCTCTGAGAGGAAAGGGCCAGGGACGGGTGCAGGGAGGAGACAGCCTTGACCCGGTTTCCCTCCAGTGTGCCCTGCTGGTTGGTTGCCCTCCCCACCCATCCCGAGTAGGGATCTGGCCCAACCAGCTGCTCCAGGTGATGGGAAGGCTATGGGTGCAGCCTCTGATGCCAGTCTCCCCACACCCACAGCTTAACAGTGGGGAACTGCTTCTCCCCAACATTCTCTTGTGGTTGGGAACCATCTGGGGGCCCAACAGGGTGTAAGAGAGGCCCAGGTGGTTCTGGTTTTGGGTGTCAAGCTACTTGGGACCGGGTGTGCAGCTCATGATCCCCCCAGAGCAGATGCCCAAGAAGGGAACCGGCTGGGGTCAGCAGTTAGTGTAATGGCTATGTTGCTAGACTCCCATATAGTCAACCGCGGTTCACGTCCCGGACCCGGTGGCTTAAAACTCACGCCGGGTGCGTGTGCATGTGTGCCCAAGATCCCGAGAGGAGAACGGAGAAGGGATTGCGGCATGGCCATCACCTCTGGGGGGTGATTTCTCGCTTTCTGTCTCTGTCTGTCTGGCGAGCGCACGCGCCCTATAGCAAAAACCTCTCCAAAAAAAAAAAGAAGGGAACCAGCTGAGGGGGAGGTGAGAGGGGGTGGAGGTGACCATGACTTCCAGGAGCTGAGTCAGTTTTTTCCCCCGAGAGCGGAAGCATCCACTGTGACAGGGAGGGCAATGTTGGTGCATGTGACCGGGTGGAGTGGGGGTGGGGTAGGGGCTAGAGGGTTTTGTGGGTGCTTTCCTGCTGGAGGATATCCCTGTGTTTCACTGAGTCTCCTGCATGGAGATGGGGGTCCTTACAGCATGTGTTAATAAAGGGGTGTGGGGGGCCAGCAGGTGGCATAGTAGTTACATTGCTGGATTCCCACATGGTCTACCGCCATTGAAGTCCCAGACCTGGTGGCTTGAAAATCATGCCAGGCACCTGTGGTACGTGCCCAAGATTCTGGGAGGAAAATGGGTAAGGGGTATGGCCATCCCCGGAAGGGGGAGCATTTCTCACTTTTCCTGTCACTGTCTCTGTCCTCCCTACCCCCAGTGCACACGCCCTAAGGCATAAACCTCTACAAAGAAAAGGGCCTTCTTCCTGCAGGAGAGGGTGCTCGTGAGGTGCTGGCCCCTTATGAGCTGCGGCCTGGTCTCCAGCAGGGCTCCTGTAGACCACTCCAGTGGGGGTGCAGATCTGCCTGCTCTTGGCCACCCTGAGCTACCCCTCAACACCCAGTAACCTCCCAAAGCCCATGTGGCTCTCTCACCAGAAGCCTAGGGGTGACCTAGCCTGGTGGACCACACCTGGAGTCTGGCCGAGGATCAGAGGCTCCAGGACATGGCTGGGGAAGGTGCGGTATCCCTGTAACCCTAGGCTGGCTTCACAGCAGCTCCAAGGGTGGGGACTCCTGGGGAAACAAAAAGCCAGGCCAGACACTTCCTCAGGCAGCCAGCAGGAAGGAAGTGAGCACAGCCCAGTGGGAGGGTGTGGGGAAGCACTGCCCTGACCCCTATTGTTTCCAGTTTGGGGTCAGCTGGGCCTGCCCAGCATGAGGAGAGCCCCCTGGACTGTGGTGTGGGAGACAGGATGCCAGGGCCTTGTGCCTAGGACCTTTGGGGGATGGGAAGGCATCCCACAGAACTGCAAGTCTGGGCTTGCAGGGTGATTCTGCTCTGGACTTGGCAAATTCGATCCTCTAAAAGACTGGCAGGCTTGGGCCGGCAGGTGGTGTGGTGGTTAAGGGTGCTGAGCTCCCACCAGCACCAACTGTGATTCGAGTCCTGGACCTTGTGGCTTGCTTTCCCTCTCTCTCTCTCTCTGTCCCTCTCTGGTTCAAATTAAAAATAAATAAATGGGGCATCAGCAGGTGACGTGGTGGTTAAGGTGCTGGTCGACCACAGTTCTAGTCCCGGACCTGGCTTTCTCACTTTCCCTCTTTCTTTCTGTGTCTCTCTCTCTGGTCAAATTAAAATAAATAAATGAATGAATATAATAAAATAAAATAATTATATAAATAAATAAATAAATAAATGGGGGCTGGCAGGTGGTATGGTGGTTAGAGGCGCTAAACTCCCAACATGGCCGACTGTGGTTCAAGTCTCAGACCTGGTGGCTTGCTTTCTCGCTTCCTCTCTCGTCAGATTGAAATAAAATAAATTTTAAAATGAATAAATAAAAATTTAAATAATTCTTAACAAAAAAATAAACCTGGGGACCAGCAGTTGGCCTAATGGCTATGTCGCTGGACTCCCACGTAGTCAACCGCAGTTTGAGTCCTGGACCCGGTGGCTTAAACTCACGCCAGGCGTGCGCGTGTGTGTGTGCCCAAGATCCCGAGAGGAGAATGGAGGAGAAGGGATTGCAGCATGGCCTCCCCCCTGGTGGGGTGATTTCTCACTGCCTCTCTCTGGCAATTGCAAGCGCCCTATAGCAAAAACCTCTAAAAAACAAAACAAACAAAACAAACAAACAAACA